CTGCACATGTTGTGTGGCTTTAGGATAGTCAATTTATCTCCCAGTTCATCACCTGAGATAACCCATTTCCTTGACATTGTTTACCACCAGAGGTCATACGTGATGTATGTAGTTAGTCCCCCAGTAAGGGCTAGCCTTGAAGGCATTACTGCAGTACAAATACATAGGCTCCAGCAAAGGATTCTCATCTTCTAGATAAAAATCATTTGCCTACTTTAAAGCTAAACTGGCAGACTTCTACTGACTGTCTTAAGTGCACAGTGCCAAGCACCAAAGTATCAAATTCTTATTAAAAATATTCCCCTGGAGATTTCTTTATAAAGGTCCCTGTTTCTATAAGTTTCTCTTCTTAAGACACTTGATTTAGTCAGGGCATAAAAAAAATAAGATAAAAGCAGCCTTCAGGTTATCCTTTCTTTACAAAAGACAAGCTCTATATTGGATCGAGGGAGAATTGAAAAAGTTTATTCCTCACTTATAAAATATGCTGACGGGCCAACCAACATCACTGCTGTGCTCTAAAGAGCATGATAAGCCTATTTGAACATAGGTGTGGTTCATGGGCATGGCTTGAGTCTTCAGCATGCTTCTTTGGTCGTGACTGCTCTGCCTTGAGAGCTCCCACTTTTTTGGCTTTGTGACCTCGCCTTACATTTCTTTTAAAAGTCTGCCTCTCTCTTGAGTTCCCAGTGCCTTAAGACCTCTTGATCCTATTCACAAATCCCTCTCAAACCCTGGCACATTTAAAGTCAACTGGTAAAACTCTCTGACTGGAGTTCTTCCAGGTGTGCAATTATTCCATCTGCTTTTCTGTATACCATTTCCTCAGACTCTTTGGGTAAAATGAGAGTTTTTGCATCTGCCTTGCCTTTTTACCTTCAGTGTTAGATTTGGACTACTTCCTTAGCAGTGTTAGATTTGGACTACTTCCTTAGCAAGTGAGCATGTGGGCCAGAAATAATAGCATTTAAACAAGGCATATTGTTTCACCAATGTTCTCAGCTGAATGTATAAAGTTACTGTTTGAACCACAATTCAGACCTCCAAACTGATCTTTATTTGAGTCTTAAAATACCATGTGCTGTGCTTTCAGCAATGGTGGTAGGCTTATTTGAGCCTCATTGAGCCTCATTGTCTTTCAGACCAGAAGATCCAAGGTGTTAACCCCAGGACTATAAATGAAGTAGGTTTGGCAGCCTTACCTTAGTCTCTGGTAGGCCTGTGCAAAGCAGCTCGTATTTGCTTCAGGTTTGGATTCGGCAGATTCAGGGGACAGAGATTTGATTCGGTGATTCGAATCACTGCCCCAAACCAATTTGGCCAAATCTGATTCAGAGATTCAGCTGCTGCTGAATCAGCCGAATCACATAGGCCCATCCCCCACCCGTTCTCCCAGCCCGGCAATGGCTGCCCCACATGCCCCAGCTCCCGGCTCTTTGAAAAAAACGCCCCAACTCGCCGGGTGCCACTGGGCAGGGGGCGATCCCCAATGCCCCCCACTGCCCCATGCTATGTGGGGGACTCTGTCACGAGCCTTCCTGCCCTGCCCCCCCATGGCTGCCCCGCCCGCCCCAGCTCTGGCCCTTTAAGAAAAAAAACCCCCCAAAAAAACCTGTATTCACTGGTTGCTGCCCAGCAGGGGGTGATCCCTACTGCCTTACGCTGCATGGGGGGCTCTACACAAGGCCCCTGAAGCCCCGAGGCTGCTGCATGAGCCGGTGAGTTCGGGGTTTTTTGTTGGTTTTTTTCTTAAAGGGCCAGAGCTGGGGCAGGGGCTGGGGGAAGAGGGGTCGGTTTGGGGGTCTCATGGCAGAGCCCCTCATGCAGTGGGGGGCAGCAGGGGTTGACTGGCAGCACCCAGTGAATAGGGGCTGTTTTTAAAGTACCGGGTGGGTGGGGCAGCCATAGGGGGCTGGGGGAGCAGGCAGGGGATGGCGCCTGGCAGGGGTTCCCCCATGGTCCCCTCCCCCCCCAGTGCTTACCAGCCCCAAGTCCAGCTCCAGCTCCCTGCTGCAGCCGCCAGGGACTGCCCGAATCATTGAAGCTGTCCAAATCGATCCAGAGAGCTTCGAATCAATTTGGGTCCTTTTTACTGGTCCCCTGATTTGATTTGGATTTGGAGACTCGGCCACCGAATCAGGCCGAATCTCCTCCAGATTGAATCAGCACCCGAAGCTTCGCACAGCCCTAGTCTCTGGTGAAAAAGTCATCCACAGTCATATCTAGTATAGTTAGTAGATAGTTAAAGAATGAAAGTAGCGTGGAAACTGATTGATCATTTGTCTCAAAGAGAGAGAGCAGGCATCTCTGATCCTGCCAGGTCAGAGAACACAGTTATTGTCAGGGTAGTTCAGTGCTGCTTGGACCATAGCTGTCTGAACTATATTTGGCTTTTGAAAACTTAGATGTGCAGTGCTACCAGATCATTAACTTTCATGACCACAAAAATTCTTTGGAAATTAACACTGAAATCAACCTGTATAAAATGTGAATCAGTTGAGCATTTCTCAGCCTGTTTAAGGGTTTATTACAACAAATAAATTCTTTCAACAGACTGTGCAGTAAATGGCCAGTGTTATTACATAGTTATTGGAGTTTAAAACATTTAGAGATGGGGAGTGTATTCGGTGAGCTCTGGACCAGCGCACTTCTTTGTCAACAGGAAAATGGACAAATCTAAACATTGTAATGCCTGCCAAAGTATACTGAGGCTTGTCAAGACACTAATCTCTTTACCTGCAGCTAAAAAAGGTCTTGATATAGAGACTGCACATATTTATACAAATAATGAGTCTGAACTCTGCAGACCTGTTTTTGTTTTACCATACAAATACTTTACACGTAGCAATTTCTGCTCTTTACCATTTGCAGAAATTTTGCACCACCCCCATTTAATATGTTCTTTTTATTCAGAAAGGTTTGCTCACATGTTAAAACATAATTTATAAAAATATTATGTTCAATAACCTTATACACTTCAAATAGGCTCTCCTTTCAAAAATCTCTCAAGGTTGCTTTTACAGTTACTAACTAAAGTATTGATAGAGGAACCAGTCACCAAAGAGTTTGCTTATACAAATCCTTGCCATGGTGTTCTTATCTTCCTTTTACCCTTTAAATATTAGAGGTCTCAAAGGAATGCACTTACCACTCTTCCGGCTCCAGCACACTCAGTATAGTCTGACTTGAAAAGTATTGGATTTGTGAAAATTTAGAGAGTATATATCATTCTGTAGGATCTACTTGAGGACCTGGAGAGAAACTGTTTGACTCTATAAAGATGTTAAAACTCATGGGGACAGAGAAGTTCATTTCCGGCCCTTTGGACGGGAGGATTAATGAAGGAAGGAGGATCAAATGGACAAGTTAAATGGGAGTTAGAAACAGCCAAAACTGTCTTGGTGCCAGTGAGTAGATTTAGAGAGAGTCACAACTATATAAGAACCAAGGATATAGATGGAAAAAGTCCAGATATCGTTTGAACAACCATCTTTTATAGGTGTGTCTCTGTACTAAGCCTGTAAACCTTTTGAAGTTTCCCCATCACAACTTGCAATCCAATTAAGCATGTGCATCCATTCCCTTTTGGTGAAACAATAATAGCAGACAAAATTAATGAGTCTCTGGAGCATGTCACCGAATAAAACAGAGTAAAATCTGTGCAAAGCAGTTGGCCCTGGCTATTTTTTCTGTTCTCTTTAAAAAGATTATACTGCATATCTACATAATTTTAGAGCAGTCATAGACAATAATATTTAGTACTTTCAGTCCTGTAATGCTTCAAAATGCTTTGGAAAGATTAATTAAATAATCCTCTAACACCTTGAATGACTAAACGGCAAGGGTAATTTCATCCCCATTTCACAGAGGAGAAGACTGAGGCAGAGGAGGCTAATAGCTATTGTTTAAATAATGCCTCAGTGGTGCATTATACCTTATAAATAAGGAAAGAGGTCCCTGCCCCAAATAGCTAACAGCCTAATTAAATCACCACAACAGGCAAAGATGGAGGGGCCGTGGAGAGATCATGATCCTGCTCCTTTAAAGACTTGCATTTTGGTCTCAGTGGGGGCTGTATCAGGCCTTTTAACGATGAGATTTGACTCTGGAGCTCTGTTTCCCAGTCTTTTTCCTGGATCTCTAAAATAGTAGGCAGTAACAATTTGCAGGTAAACAGTGCTTTTTCACTCCTAGATCTCAAAGCACTTTTTGAAGGTGGGTAAATATTTCTTCCTGATTTGGAGACGGAGTCATTGAGGTAAGTGAAAGTCATGCTATTATTCAGTACAGAGTTGGGAATAAAACTTGTTTTTCCAGACTCTGGACCCTGAACTTCATCCAGAAGACCCGTGGTAAGTGTGCCTTTCCAAGGGCACAAGGTTTTCTCCTGCAGCTTTGCCCTGGGGGACTGTGTGTGCTAGGCCATCTGGTGCCACAGCTCTCCTTGGGTTTGCTCTCCTGTTCCCTTGACTAATGGAGAACAGGGGCACTCTATTCCAGGAGCGCATGGAGTTACATTATAACAGTGCTTGGCATCAGGTGGGCAACGAGGGGAGGCTGAGCAAGAAGGTGTACTACATAATCAATAAACCAGCAGATATCAAGCTCTCTCTATATAGATTTTCTTCCAGATTTGATATTCTCTAGTCAGAGTTCAGAGTCATAAAAAGTGAGTATTTTAATGATGGATTGTTTTGGTTCTGCCTTTCTCTGGTGGGAAAGTGCACAGTGCTTTGGTGTAAGGCCCACGTTTCCCTGTGCAGTGTTACTTTCATTAAGTTCGTACTTCATGCTCCTCCCGTCCAGACTGTGCAGATGTACTCCAAAAGTAGGCAAAAGGGGGTTGTAGATGGGAGCTACATCCACTTAAACATATGCAATGTTTGTATTTAAGAAAAAGAAAATGAACACTGACAAAAAATAAAAGAGAAGTGCAAAAGGTAAGGCTGCCTATCGGCTTGATTTTTAAAGATATGCATTTTTTTCTTACCATATTGCAGATCTCGCCTTGCAGATTTTTTCACAAACTGCCAGCCTGAGTCACGGTCTATTAGTAGCTGTCTGAAGGAAAACTATGCTGACTGCCTCCTCGCTTACTCGGGGCTTATTGGTAAGAATTTTATGGGGGACGGGCCTTCTCTCTCTCTCTCTGCCCAGAGAACAAACTATTTCTTGAAGGCCCACTGAAAACAAAGCAAAAGTTCATACCCATGTTGTGCCATCAGATTGTAGGCACAGTTCCACAATTAGATGAATGGTCTCTTGTCTGAAAGCTCAGAGATCCAGGGATAAATAAGTCTGTGCAGTTGTCCAAAATAAGGATGGAGGATAAGGGGAAGAGAGGTTTTTAAATTTGAAGAAAAGGGGTGTAGCAATACGTGCAAGTAAATTGTACAAAGTTGGTTGGGGGTTGTTAAAATGGAACAAAATAATAATGTAAGGAGTAAAGTAGAATAGGTGAAGCTGTCGCTTGATGTTGTTTGCAACTGTCATCAGAAAGTCAGGTGAAATGCGTATTGATATATTTAGGGAAAGCTCATGGTGCATTTGAAAAATGAGGCCGCAATACAGCAATGCAATCCCATTTCACTTCTACCAGCTCTGATTTCCATGATCTCCCCATGTCCCTTTTAAGGGTTTTCTGAGATGCCTGTCAGTGGAGGTGAACTGAGAGCAAATTTATCTCCTGAAATCCTCTCCTTCCCTAACATAATTCGTTTTGCCCACTGTCACCTGGCTGACTGTCAGCCTGCTCAGGGATGCTGTTTATATGCGGGTCGCCTTCCATATCCCACACGTTCTGTTTGATTCCTCAGTGAGAAAGCTCATCTTAGGGAAGTGAACTTTCTGCAGACATATCATGGTTGAGCAATAAAGAATGAGTGAGTGTCAAAACTCTGAAACAAGCACATTTGGAAAAAAAAGAAAGACCACTTTTTCAAGCTCGCAGCCTGCACTTGCCATGATTCAGACATAGCCCCTTCTGTTAGGTGTGAAGGTTGCAGCTGAGCCCCTGAAGCAGATCCTGCTGTTAAATAAATGTCTTCTGAGATGCAATCCAAAACAAACCAGTAACAAAATAGAATGGTCTTGCTGGAAAATGAAGCTAAAAGCAGAATCGACGATACTGAAGGCATTACTGTACCACCTAATGGGAGTGGTAAATATGCATAGGGACTCATAAGAGAAGATGAGGTTTCAAAGAACATGCTCCAAGATTTAACAGAAACGAATTGTGCAGAAACAAGACTTGAAATGATAAAAAAATCATTTGACTCAACAAAGAATTGGGCTGCTTAGCAATCCAGTCCAGTGAATGAAAGTAAAGAGAATAGCTACAGGTGAGGAGTAATTCTGATCCTAATCGGTGTCTGCAGATGAGAGCTGCCAGCAAGTTGTTGCTGGATCTAGTGCCTTTTGCAAAGCACTTTATTGGCCCATTTTGCAATTTAACCTAAAGGATGACCCAGTTCGTGTGGAGAGGTGGTTTTTTGCGTTCCTATGGTCGATGATACTGCAAAAAACCCCACTTTCTGACATCAGAGACCTGAAATGGATCCCTAAGGAAGTGAAATCAAATGGAGATTTAACTTCTGAATGGGAAATAAACATTTTTCTTCTTTCCTAACAGCCCCCAGACACATGCAAGAAGATGGGAGCTGACTAATGTTACAAGGGTTTATGCCTCTCCGCTTTAACTCTGATAAACCAAGGCGCATACCAAAATGAAACTGCCATTTTCTGGAGCAAGATGGTCTTCATTCTGATCTCAATGAGACTGGTAGAAATCTGCAATAAATTCCACTGCAAACCCTTCAAATGTCCAAGTCTGCCTGAGATCAAAATCTGGGCTAGAATTTTTCTATTGACCCGGGTAAAAACCATGTAAATATACAAGAAGAGAATGACAATTTTTTTTTTAACTTCTTAAGGCAAACTATTGCAGATTTATCTGTTCCTCTGAAAGCCAGGGGGCTCTGGCTGATGTGGTTAAGATAAAGTACAATTTCCTTTATTTGTTTAATTAGCCATTGCAGAAAAATTCTGAAGAGTTATCAGCAAGATGTTGTAAATGTAATATTTATTTCAGGAAAATGAAGGCTCACCGTGGAATTTAAAGTGGGTCTTTCTGCTCGTAGATATAATGAGGTAAATAAGAGGTAGCTGGACTGAAATCAGTGGAACTACAGTTCAAGTAAAACTTGGTGTGAGTGAGACACTCAGGCCTGTTTTTGTGAGGGAGGTCCTATACCAGGTGAATGGAGAAGAGATTGTATAGGTACTTTTCTGGATTATGCCATGGTGTGATGTATGGTGTATTATATTTTACAGAAATACTGACCACCACAGTTTGTACTTTGGGGCTGTTTTTTATAGGTTTATAAAAATCAGTAAATACATTTATTTTTAAAGTGCTAACCTGCCAGAGGAAAGATACAGGATTATTTCATATAGAAGAAGCCTAGAGATACCAAAATGCAAAAAATAACCTATTTTTTTTACATCTCTGTCAGGCCCGCTGTACCTCCCTCTGACATCACACTGACATGGCCCCCTGTAACTCCAGTGACTTCCAAATGATTATTTTTTTAAAATTCATTTTCCCTTACTTGTTTTTAGCATCCTACCCTTCCCCTCCCTAGGAATTTGCATCAGTAAACTGGGACCTTAGGATGGGGCATATATCATTCTGATCCCGTTACAAGTACCGGAGCTTTTGGCTCAGACCCAGTGACTCCTGTTCTTCCTTTTTGCTGAGCTTCATTTTCTTCCTGCATTCTGCTATGGGAACTCCCTACCTGGCCGATGTTCCTATTGTAGGGCATAGATTCTCATTAAGTTTAACAGTTCCTGCTGGGCCTGGGCCAATTCCACTAGTTAAATTAGACTAAGGTCACGCTTGGGTTAGAGGAATTTAGTTAAACTTTTTCCCCCCCACTGTTAATAGCTTCTGAGCCAAGTTGGCTGATGTGCTGAGTTCCAGATCACTTCTACCTCTGTTGAGAGTGCTATAGAAAATTTGAAATGGCAAAAATAATAGGCTAATTGTGTCTTATTTTACTCCCTTCTGCTGTGGTTCCCTGATCTGTTAGTGTCCTTCAGCAGAATTTCCACGCTTAACATGCACCAAAAAAAAAAAGCAGAAAAAAACCACCACCCTAGGAAACGAAACACATAATCCGCTTGGGTTCACATCTGCCCCCAGGTTTAAATGATAGACTGATTTTCCACTAGCTGCTGTTTCAGCCACTCTGGATTTTCTGCTGTATATACAGTTTGTGTTTTGTATGTACATGTTCCTCATCCTGCCTTTCCCGCTGACGCTAATCATAGCATGGGATTGCTTCTGCTTTAGCCCCGTACTTAGTTCTGCCGTTATGACCTTATTTCTTCTTTGTTGTGAAAGTCTTGCTTTAGAGGCCCCAACTTCCTCAGCACATTTTGGTTGATCAGATTTTCTCACGTTCACCTATGTTCTTTCCATTAAACCCTCTTCTTTTCCATTTTCTTGCTGCGTTACTTTCTTCTTTTCTCATCATAACTGTCAACTGGTTGAAATATTCAGCTGAAAATCATCAAAGGAGTAATGGGTGTTTCATTTGTTTTGTTTTAATTTAAGCAGCATTCCCATTCTTATTTATCTGCTGTCAGTTTTTCATTCATAGTGCAAGTGAGATTTGCCTTTTTTGCAGCATTCTCCACCTGCATTTCGTACATTTTGAACCGTGCTATTTACACATGTGCTAATCTTATGTAGACTTTGAGCAGTTATTATTAGAACTGTTCGTTAAAAATTAAAAGTTCATAAAGAATGCGATTGCGTTCTAATTTAATAACATCTCAAAACAAAACAAAACATCCTTTGGGTGATTTTAGCCAATTCCATCTAATTTATTCCTGCCTTTCTTCAGGATAGCTCTTCAAGTCTGTTTTTCTTTGTCTTCCATTTTGTGTACAAAACTTTTTGAATGTTGACCTGCCCAATTCCCAGCCAAGCCTAGGTGTTTGAAGCACTACTGACATAATATCAGGGGTGTACTTGGTACTGTACAGTACTATGTACTGACATAGTATTGCATTTTCTGTTACATCTAGTGCTATTTCTGTTGGCTGGGAATTTGGCAGCATTTTTTCACAAGGGTTACAATTGCATGGGTCTCTACTACTTAACCTTCATCTCTTTCACCTTTACATCCTTATTTGCCGAAACGTGGGTCGTAGAAAAGTTTGCATTGAATCTCTAGGCTTCTGGCTAGGGCATATAGGTACCTAAATATATGCCTTGACAACTGCTACTCTCAGTGCAGTTCTGGCCTAGTTGCATTGATTTAACTGGCTACGAATAAATGGAGCTATTACAGGTTTGAATGATGTAACTGAAAGTAGAATTTGAGCAACACAGCTATGAAGAATGCTTATTTTAAATTAATGCTGGGTTTTTGGTTGTAGCCGTGTTGGTCTAAGGACACAACCAGGCAAGGTTTTTTGAGTAGATGTGATATCTTTTACTAGACCACCTGAGCAGTTGGGAAAAAGTTTTTCACAAGCTTTCGGGCGCAGTCACCCTTCATCAGGCATTGGAAGTCTCTGCTGGTCTGAAAGTCCAAGGAATGAGAGAAGCTAAAAGTATGACAGGATGTCAGTGAGAATGTAGATAGGTAGAGATTAGGAAAACATTTTTTTTCTAATTGCTTTACCTTTTATTTTTTCCTAATTTATCCCTATTTACATTCTCACTGACATCCTGTCACAGTTTTAGCTTCTCTCATTCTGCGCCCGAAAGCTTGCTAAGAACTTTTTTCCAACCACTCAGTTGGTCTAATAAAAGCTGTCACATCTACTTAAAGAACTTTGCCTGCCTATTTTAAATTAAGGACTACATTGGTCAACTGTTAGTCAAGTTGTGATGCCTTGTACTGGGAAAGTCATTTACTCATGGAGTAAGTGCTGACCAACGTGAACAGGGACTGAATAAATGAGATCAGTGGTGCTCAACTATCTGGCCAGTGAGTGGTACAGGACTGGACAATGGGCCAGATCCAGCCAGGAGTTCATGTACAGGGTCGGTCGGCTGGTGTGATCTGGCACACTGGACCCGACTCCTGGAAGCAGCAGCAGTTAATGCTGCCACCACTTCCCGACTCCCCAACTTTCCAGACCCATATGGAGCTCTACCTGCTCTGACTCAGGGGCCAAAGCTGTTGAGCACCACTGATCTAGTTCAATAGGGACATACGTTAGAGTATGGAATATACTCTTTACTTTGGTTTAGTTGTTAGTAGGCCTGAGTCTAAAATATAAATAGCAAAATGCTTGTGCAGGAATCTGTAAGGGTTAGACTAATGCATGGATCATATACAGTTTAAGAAATGAAATCTCTGTAGAATTGACAGTAAGAAACAGCAATGTTGTGGTAACTGGGAAACTGCATAAAATCAGTCCTAGCTACTTATAAAGATTAATCGTACCTTTTCTCACGTGCCGTACTATGGGCAAAACAGCCCTCATCAGCGGCTCTTAGGCTAAATGCCCTGCAGAGATGTATGTGACAGTTCATGCCTTTTATAACTTGTTTCAGGCAGCCTGCAAGCTGAGGGCAAACCAGTCAGGTCACATTTTTAGCCATGTCTTAGTAGCTAAAAGGCTAGAACTTCTAAAAAGACCCTAAGCATGGGTCTGCAGTGCTTCAGCTTAATTCAGCCCTAATTCTGGCCATCATCATATATAATTTATCCTTTGATTGGGTAGCATGAAAAAGGGTCAGCTATTATAAAAATCACTTTATAGCATAGTATTTTACTGTTTGTTCACAGGCACAGTAATGACACCAAACTACATAGACTCCAATAGTCTCAGCGTTGCCCCATGGTGCGACTGCAGTAACAGTGGTAACAACATAGAAGAATGCCTGAAATTTCTGAATTTCTTCCAGGATAATACATGCCTTAGTGAGTACAACATTAGAATACATCCTCAGACTTCTATTTGTTAATGTTTTAACGTGTGTTGGATTGTGTTTTTACTTATTCTCTGAATACTTGTGATGCATCAAGGCCACAGCTTTGCATTTCGGTAAGTTGGAAATGGAATTGATATAGAAACTAGAAGTACATGAATTTGAGCAAATCTACCTGATGTATTGTTCATGGCCAAATTTATAAATGTGAAAATCCATAATGTAGAAACATATTTCTTCCCACAAATCACAACTTGGTTATTTATATTTGAGGAAAGTCTGTCATGATGGTTTGGTTATTGCGATTGGGAAAAGTCTGATGGGTTTGTGTATAATAGGACAAAGTTAGATAAATGATATGCAGATAGGCTGTGAAGGTCTTTATAGCTATACAAAGTGAAATATGGACCCTGTTAAATCAATGGCAGAATTCAGTTGCACTTAATGGAATCAGGATTTGATACCCTGATTGGAATTTTATTATCAATAGTCCCAAATATTTAAGATTTAAGCACAAAGTTCACTCGCTCATTTTCAAAAATAAGATTTGATGCAGTGATTTCATAGGAATTTTTACCTTATGGCTCTAGCAGCCAAATTCACTCCCAAAGTAGGGGCTATTTTAAATCTATTTTAAATCTTGGAGGGGCTTAGTAGTGTCATTTTTCAGATTTCCTTTTCAAACTTCCCATTTGCCAAGAATTTTACAGCTGGATGACAGGGAATGTACACCAGGGCCTGGATTTCAGAGGAACTGGACAAGCTAAAACAGGTTGGCCTCCTTAGCATAGGAAAACAAAGGCTAACGGGGGGCGCCTATACACATGCAGCAAGGCGGCTGCTCTGACACACTGTAATTACAATGTGTTGGAGCAGACTTGAGTCTGCTGGAGTGTGGTCATTACCGCGCTTCAGCAGACTCCAGCGTCACATGTATCAGTGTCCCCACACTGAAAAATGGTGAGAGGGTTGCTTTAACTAAAGCTTGTTTGAGTTTTAGTTAAATCACCCCCACTGCCATTTTTCAGTGTGCGGACTCTGATGCACGTGATGCTCTGGGAGCTTTAATTAGAGCGTCTTTTGGAGCCATTCTAATTAAAGTGCCCCCTCCCCCCGACATACTCCCAGAGCATGTGTATAAATGCCCAGGGATAACATTATTTCTGTCTCAAAATATGAGAGTAAACACTGGACTGGAAAAAGTCCTATTTAAGCTGAAGTATAATATTGGCATAAGGAGTTTAAGCTGGCCAGGAAATGTTTTAGGCTGGAAATTAGGAAGTTTCTAACCAACAGAAGAGTGAGGCTTTGGGACAGACATCCAGTAGGCATTGTGGTGTCAAACAGCCTAATTAGTTTAAGATTAAGCTCAGTTTATGAAAGTTCTCCAACCAATAGGGTCTCACCTTGCATTACTTCCATTACTACACTGATGCTGTTATGTGCAAAAAATGACAGGATTGAGCGCTATTTATTGGTGGATCACTGGCTGGAAGAGTTAATCAAGATTATGTCACAAAAAATAAGTTCCGATTGGGATCCTATATAGGAACAGACACCTCTAGTATCCAGCCTTCCTCTCACCGTAACAGTACTATCTCTTGGACATTACAAGCTGTAATATTTCATAGTTTACTACTTTGTAAATGTGCTCATTACTACCAGGGTTGAGGTTCCTTTTAGGATTTAACACACACCAATCCTTTGTCTTCAGATCAACACATTTTAATGAAGATAAAGGGATGGCATTAGAGGTTGCTGTGAGAGAAATTATGCTCACCTTGGTAGAGACCACTTCTTCATGAACATATTGCATGTTTTCCTGATGTAATATCATATCACAGAGCGGGAAAATGTTCCAGTGTCTTTTTGTTAATGGCCCTCTGTGGACAGGGGGCGAATTTACATTTTAAGCTATATTTTGTATTAGTGTTTATATTCATTCTTTATTGGACTATGAAGAACAGTAGGCCCTGATCTTACATACAAACAGCTTCTTAATCTTAAGCCTACGTATATTAGACCTGGGTGGAAACAGTTTTCCTGTCCTGTTCCAATTCTGGCAATTTCTAAAATGTGCCTGGGTAGGGACAGACATTACACATAAGCTGGTTTCAGTGATCAGAAACTAGTTTAAACCTGTAACAGAACAGACATTCAGTGCACATAAACGAGTTTCAAAATGGCTGAAGCTCATCTGAGATAAACCTGGTTGAATGTAGCATCAAATTTAACTGATTTGGCTCAAACTGGTTTATGCAATTTCTGTCCCAGACCATTGGGACAAAAATGGTATCTTTGCGGTTGCTTGCCAAGAGTAAGCTCCCCTGCATAACAGCCCAGCAGTGAGGGCGCTCACATAGGATATAGGAATTCCAGGGTCAACTTCCTACTCCAGTCACAAAATGCATAACTCATTGCATATTATTATTCATGGCATTATTTATTTTTGAAGTAGCTCCTTACAAGAGAGATTGAGACCAGCTCACCCCAACCTAGACAGCAGCCTGGTGACTAGGGCACTTACCTGGGATGTGGGAGACCTGGGGGTAAATTCTGCACTTTGCTTGATGTGGAACAGGGACGTGAATCTTGGAATTTCTTATGCCAGACAACTGCTGTTTCAGCTGGGCTTTTGGCCTTTTGCAGCTTCCCTTGCTTTTGACCAGAACTTTCACCCTGGAGACAGAAGTCCCTACAAAAGTTTAGTTAAAGTGGATAATTGTCATGGAAAGCTTCTCATTGGCATTGACATTTCCTAATTTAAACCATTTCACCAGCAAGTTCCCAACCAGAACTAACGGCACCTTATAGTGAGTGGTGCTAATGAAATCAAATGCATGACTATATCCTAACTCTCATGTATTAACTGCAGTGCATCTGTTTGCAGAATTTGGGACTTACAGATTTTACAAGTAGCATAAACTTTAAAAACAGAAGGCACGGGTCCCTGCAGAAATGCCCATGTTTTAAAACATGGGTTTGCGTACTTCCTTAATTACATTTTCCAAGTTTATTTGGAAAACATTTGACCACCAGTCAATGGGGTCTTTTATCCCAAGAGAACTTCCACTTAGTTCATTTTCAGATACAGACTGAATCTTTACAAATCACTTAAACTTTATTTTTACTACCTTTCAAAATGTTTCCTATAGCAGAGTTTTCAGTTATTCTACTCACTTCAGCCCCAGCCCTACAAACATTTGTGCACACACACAGTCCCACTGTTTAGTGTAGCACTTGAGATATGCAGGTATGTAAGTGGTAGAAGGATTTGAGAGTATGTCCTGTTTGATGGAGAATTGGCAGGCAAGGGGGAAAATACAAAATACAGCTTATAGAAACAGCCAACCGTCCACTGAAGCATCTGAGGTATCTCTTCACTCTTGTGTTTATAGCCTGCATTAGACTTGAAGACATACAAATGTTGTTGTAAACAGAAATGCAGGAGATGCAAAAATAAAAGATGATTACAAGAGTAATTTTGTTTTGAAAGCTCAAGGAAGTCTCCATATGCTGCTTATTTCCTGCAGCATCTCTTACAGGAGCTGGCCTGCCATTTAATTTAGCTGAGGGCTGTCCAAACTCTAAGCCAGGGGTGGTCAAATCCAGCCCGCAGAGCCATGGCATTTGGCCCACGGGGCTTCCCATGGGTCAGGAAATCTAGGAGTGGGGAGTGATGGTCATAAATACCACCACCTTCCCCACCTGCCAAAGTCCCCAGCCTCCAACAGTGGGTCAGATCTGGGCCACGGCCCCTCTACCCTGCACTGCCAGACCAGGGCCAGGTCATGCCCACTTCTCCAACAGGGCTGGGTCTGACCTCCTTTCCTCTGCATGGGTGGATCAGGGCTGTGTTATCCCCCTTTCTCTTCCTCATGTGGCCAGGTCAATCCACCTTCCCCCATGTGGCCGGATGAGGGTCAGGCCACCCCCCACATACCCCATGCTGCCAGATGGGGCACCACCATGTCTGTCCCAGGTGCTAGATTGGGACTTCTCACCGGATCTGGCCCTGAGACGGACCAGGCACTGCCCATCTGGCCTGCTGGGAAAAAGGTTGAGGACCACTGTTCTAAGTGGCTGCAGACTGCACCAGCGGGGGCTGCATGCCTTGGGAGCCACAATAATACAAATCACAGGCCCCGGGGCTGATCTCCCCCATACTGTACCACATGAGCAAGCAGCTCCTACCTCAGCCCCCTTGCTGTACCGCACTGCAGGCTCCCTTGGCACTGTGGGCCACACCACCCCACTTTCCGGGGTGGGAGCAGGAGGCAAATGCTAGGGGGGAAGGGGGAACCTAGAGACCCCAGATACAGCAGCAGCCAGAGCTTTAAGGGGAGCAGTGGCCTGGTAGGAGCCTGTCAACTACATATTAATCCCAAGTGGACCTTGTGCAGCCTGTAGTCTGCCAATCAGAAAGCCTTGAGCTTAGGTCATCGTTTGGTCACTTGTGTGCATTTATGGTATAGAAAGTATCGTGCTTCATGTTACCTTATTTAAGAATGATCACAGGACAGGAAAATTATTTCAGACAATCCTCATTTGCCCCCTGTCAATCGAACCAATTTTGGTGCCTTTATATAAATCTTTTGCAGTATTTGTTGGCACTCTTAGAGCAAATATTAGAATAAAGCATGTCTTTCTAAGATCAGAGTTAAATGGAAATGATTTTATAAGGAGATGGATGGCAGTGAAGGCTAATATTAATAACTTTCACATATAAATCCCAAGTGAAATTGTTTGATTTCTTATACAATGAATTTGAAATAAGAAATCCCTAAATCCGTTTTGAGTCCCCAAAGACCTGATTAAAAACTGTTTTTCTATTCGTTTATATTAAAAAAGCAACCAATTTACTCTTGCCATAAACACACTCTTTAATCCCATGAAACTGTGATAAGCTTTTTAACTTTTATATTCTAAACTTTTAGCTTAAGCATGCTTCTCTCACCTAATTATGCAGATGTTGTTTGGAAACTGGAAGGAAAGGATCATCTTAGTTAAGCCATTTTGTATTTATGGGTATACTTGTTTTAACGAAACAAGGTGTAGAAATAAATTAGTATTTTGCCAGCTGTTTACAGGCAAACTGGCTTGTTGCAAAACCTATCAGAAGCAGGACATGGCATTCAGGCTAAATCTTAAATCTCACAAATCAAGTTTAGAGGCACTTGCGTGGTATGCTAATTTGCTTACATTAGATCTAAGGTTTAGACCTTCTCTCAAGCATGGCTGAAAACCTCTGTTGGAATACAATGAGAGACAAATCTGTGACCCCAGAATTCATATTTCTGACATGCATTCAAAGTTAATTAAAGTAGGCTTATCAAAACAAAAGTTTGAGTTTGTACGCAGAAGGACAGGGGGTTTTTTATGTGAAAGAACAATACCAAAGTTATTTCTGTTCAATAGCAGCAGGTCAGAAATGTCAGTTTTGTTGTCTGTGGTATTTGTTTTTTATGCCGTATTTTCCCTATAATCGTGTTCTACAGAAAATGCAATTCAGGCCTTTGGTAATGGTACAGATGTAAACGTGTGGCAGCCCATCCTACCAGTACAGACCACTGCAGCGACAACTACAACAGCCTTCAAACACAGGACTGTGGGTTCAGAGACCACCAACAATGAAATACCCACCCACAATGATTTGCCAGCATGTGCAAATCTGCAGGTAAGAGAAACTTGTAACTGCTGCGGTTAGAAAGCAACACAAAAATACAAAATGATATCGATCAGCAGTCTGTCAGCTGTTGCTGCATGTGCAGATATCCATATAGTCTTGTATATAGCTGGATTTTGCTTTTTTCATTCTGATGTTGGAGTTCGTTATACTATATATTATAATAGATCACATACTCTGGTATCAAATAAGGAACATGAATAAATAAGAGATTGCATTGGTTCACTGATTCAGGAACAGGGCTTTACTACAATTTTGGCTACGGTCTTAGCATTTCTGCTACCCTGTCAGGGTAAACCAGAGAAAGATAATATATTTGATGGGCTAGATACAAAGGTGACTGAACTGGCTTAAGGTGCACCCTCTTCCAGCCCCTTCCTCTCATTAGTTACACTAATTTAGACATACCATATTTACTTGAATAAATGATAAGTGTTTTTTTCCCCAATCTGTATGGGGGGAAAAAGTTCTTCATCTTACAATTGCATAAAAGGAAACCTCGTTAAATTTACTATCTGTTGTTAAATTGTTGGCAAAAACGGCATGTTCTCAGTAATTGAAATCAAAATGCAGCCAACACTGAGCAAGACTATTAGGGGTGTGAGAAATGGGCCGCATTCAATTCAGATTCAGCCAGAATCAGGGACAGGGATTCAGTTCGTTGATTCAGATCACTGTCCCAATTAGATTTGTCTGAATCTGAATCTCAAGATTCGATGCTGATTCAGAGAATCAGCGATTCGGATATAGACACAGGTTTAAATGTTTTTTCTACATACCTTGAGGTACCAGGCACGGTTTGGGAATGTTGTGTCTAGGTCCCTTCTGACTCATTGATTCTGTGATGCTGGGGTGGACAGAGCATCCTACAGGAGAACAGGGGCCCCCCCGCGTGCTTGGCGGCAAGCCCAGAAGTGGACCAGAAGTACTTCCAGTCCATTTCTGGGTCTGTCAGGGAGCATGCCGGGGGGTCCCCCTGTATCCCCCCCAGCTTGGTGATTGGCCATGGGGGGACCCTGGGTGCCCCCCTAGACCCAGGAGGCACCAGTCGTCAAACTGGGGGAGTATGGGGGGGGGGCAGCACGTTCTCTGGCGGACTCAGAAGTGGACTGGGAGTGCTTTTGGTCCACTTCCGGGTCTGCTGCCAAGCGCGCTGGGGAGCACCACACCCTTTTGTGGGACACTCCATGTGCCCCAGCATTGCAGCATTCATGAGCCCCTGCTACCTAGAGGTACGTATAAAAAACATTTAAAGGTGTGTCTATGTCTGAATCTTGCCGAATCTCTCTGAATTGATTTGGAGGTTTCCAATTCAATTCGGAAAAATTAAAGGGTCCTCTGATTCAATTCGGATTCAGAGATTCAGCCACCAAATCTCCGCCGAATCAATTCAGGGACCAAAGCTTCTTACAGCCCTAATGCATATCAAACAAATGGTCAACCTAGGGTAAACATACTGATGGGAACCTACAACAAGGATAGGTTAGTGCAGCCCATTTGAATAAGATATATGGTAGTACCCATTGCACTCAGTCCTGCTCACTGCCAACTCTGTTTCAAGTCATAGTGAGCCAGTACACTGAAGATATTTTTATTTCTTTGTCATTCCCACAGCTAAGTTGCACCATTTTTCCCATTTCCAATCATTCCTGGTTCTTCACCACCCTTAAATGTCTGGTAAACATCACCAAATGGGGTTCTAAACAGCTCACCCAGAATCCCTCTGTTGCCCCCTCGCTCAGCCTGTCACACATGATTAGTGTGGCCCCACCCTCCATAAGGTGGAACTGCACTGAGTTGCCCTGCACCTCATCTGCATATAATTTTTTGAAGGAATTCAGGACTCGTGAGAAGAACAGCAGTTCCAGCCATGAGCAGGGTGCTAATTAGCACATGAATCCTTTATGAGGGGTGTGGGTTGTATCCAGAGTACACACACATACTGCTGAGCTGTAGAGTCACCATGGCTTGAAATGCTGTTGACTATTGGACTGGGGCCCAGTCCAATGAACTATATGGTAAATCATGAGCGTTTTGGCTTTGGACTAACATTATACATAGTTTATACTCTATAGAAGTAGATAGAAAAGTACTGCTTAAAAGTATGTTTGTGGAAGTGCCTGTGTTAAAAATTCATCCATCCCTGTTTTCAAATTTGCCCATCACTTCCATGTGCTCAAGTAGAGCAGGGTTTGACAGTAAGGGGAACAGAAGGGGCTTCAGGGAAATAAGTTGGGGAAACAGAGGACAAGGGGGCCACCGCACCTCCACTCTTGTAGCAGTGGGTGAGGGACAAAAGCAAGGCAAACCTCCAATAACTAGATTCTATACCTGGAAAATTATAACAAATGTATACATTTTTCATATATAGAATCTAATTATTGGGGGGGTCATCTTATGTAGGGTTGTCTTCTAGTTGAGTAAATTCAGTATTTAGACTGAGGGGATGTAAATGTAAGAGATGCATTTGGTACAAGTTACATGCTGAAGGAGCTGGACAAAGATTTAAATGACTTCAGCACAGATGCCCTCTTTGAATTGGTCCCAGTGTCCTGGCTAGTAACTGTGGTCCCATTGCTTATCAAGTTAACCAGGTATTTTATGGGATTGATTCTGGATTTTAAAGAGAGTAATCACTTGCTCAAGGCTGTACATGCAGCTACCAGAGTTTTGGACAAGACAAAACTATAGAATATGGGCAAGGAAGAATGTGAGGTAAAAGAAAAACCCAAAATATCTCTAGGCCAGACAATTTCAGCAATCCAGTGCTAGAATGATCTCTTGTTTGAAGATACCAGATTAGCTCGGAGTCAGATCCGGTTGGCCCATTTCTAGTTCTGTCTTCACAGTGGGACAAAAATTAAAGACTTTCATTTATTACAGGTACAATCTAATGTAAAGACAGTTTTACACTTGACTCCCATATTCTTTAACATTTATTGTTTCCTTATGAGAGAGCATCCACAATGTTCTTACATACTAAATGTTTAATTCTGTGTGCTTCTTGTTAGACAGTATATGAATATCCATACGTATTTCACTTGCACAATGCAGATATGTCAAGATTTTCTCCATAATTATTCCTGATTCCTCATTTTTCCTACACTGTTCCCTCACATTGATGCCCTTTTAATTGGTCTGTTTTACTTGGTATCAGGTTGACAAATTTTGTATAAATATATATACTTCAGTGGTGGTGTATCAAAATATGTATTAGGATTAATGATGACTGATGTTGGGATTCTGCATTGCTTATTTTTATTCTCATTTTGCATATCTGTATTTTTATTATTAGTTAAGCTCTGTAAGTTATTGGTGAGAAGATGATGGTTAACAAGAAATGTATTTCCATAGGCATTAGCTATTTGATTTGAAAAAATATTCATGCTGAAAAATATTCACCTTTAAAAAGCTAGGAATGCATTTAGAGAAAGAAGTTGATGGAAAATTATTAATGCACTCCATATTATAGTTAATAAGTTGCACTGAGGCAGGAATTGTATTCGTCTCATAAGTAAATGCAGCATGTTAGAGATTAAGTCTCACAGTGCTATGAAAGTATATATAGTAGATGGACCCAGAAATGACAGATGTCTCAGATCCCATTGATTCCAAGTTGCAGGTGTTCAGCATTTTGGAAAATGAGACCCAGTGTTTTCAGGTAACTGAAATAGGCCCCATCCCAGTCCTCCATCATTTTAAAAGGTCACATACCCGGTCAGTTCATCAACACTGTCTGAAGCCGTCCTCTCTGTATAAAAGGCCCATTGATGTACTAGGTCAGGAATGATATGAAGGTATAGATGTCTTTGGAAAAGTCAACCTCAACTGACCTTCTGTGTACATGGATCGTGTAGATGCATCCGCATACAGGTTTACCAGAACCAAACATCTGTTGACTTGTTAGCTGCAGTGTTTTATCATCATCAGCTCCTTTTGTGTTTTATACCTGAAACAAAATAACAACGATTATATTTTCATACGTTTTCTAAAAAAATCCTTCAAAAATTAAACCAAGTCAAAATACCTTACCTTGTTTTTATTAAACATACATTTTGGATAATACAGTGCCACTTTGAAAATGAGACTTAAAGCTAAACTTTAATTAAAATATTAGAGGGACCAGGCAGCCAGAGACATTGTATGTATGCAGAAGCTTCATTGTTCATGGGCTCATCTCACATGAAAAGTGTTCCTTCGTAATAGTTTCAAAACAATTGCTAATGCTACTGAGAGCAATCTAAAAGGTTTTGTTAAAGACTTGGTATTTGAGATAAGGCTCTTTAAAAATGGAATATAGTATAAACATTATGAAAGGCAGAATTAATAGCAATATTAGCAATACAACAAAACAATTACATATTTGAGAAAAGTTTCTGAAAAATGATCATTCAGATGCAATTAGTTATGGCTATGATATATGTATATCCTAGTGAGTGGAAATGTTTAATACGGTAAGACCTGGGATGCTGAAGAAGTGTTTGATTAATATAAATTGGTTTGCCAAAATATTGAAGCGTTGACTTCTAGTATATGTTTTTGCTTTAGGTCTTCTAAGGAATTGTTTTCTTGTATATGTACTATTCTGTCTCCAGATGAGCTAAGTACTTTATCCTTATCAGGCAGATCCTTGCCTTCAACAGTATGCTATAAAATGCCTATCTATCTGGCATCTAGGAATGACCAAAAGCACCCAGTGGCAACACTTCTATAAAATATTTTAAATTCAAGTGCATTTTTAGGGTACTTGACACCTGGAAAGGGTTAACATTATTTCAAAGGATCAGTCTGTAGAACATCTATAGAAAACACAAAAAGGAGAAGACATGGCCTTGATACCTGGAAAGATCACAGAGCAGGTCCTCAAGAAGTCTATTGTGAAGTGGCGAGAAGGAGAACAAGGTGATCAGGAACACCCAGCATGGATTCACCATGAGCAAGTCATGCCTAACCAACCTGATTTCCTTGTATGATAAGGTGGCATGCTCTGT